CTCATGTGTTTTTGTTTATCCTACTGGATGACCAAATCAAATGCGTGTTTTGAATCACAACATTATCCAAAGGTAAATCGGATTTCGAGGCTTTGTTTGGGCTAATTTCTTCTCTTCCAATACCATTTTTGCCACGACTTACGTTTTTAAACAATAACACCTTCGTTTAAAACATTAAAATGCGCGTGAGCTTGTTGACCTAAATTCTGCCTGAGAAATCTGATTGATGATGAGCGTGTGCGTCTTTTGTTTTGCGGATGGAGCGACCGCCCCTCTTAACTTGAACTTGGACTCGACGAGGCGTCAAATGGATTTTCTTTCTGCATCAGGAAAACCGAACACAGACTAAGTTGTAGTTCTGGTCATCCGAGCAGATAGAAAGGGAACTAACTTGTTTCTTTTGGAAATAATATCCAGACATTTAGACACAATACTCTTTTTTGCGCCTTACACGTGACTCCGGTTTCATTTTCTTTATTATTTGGACATGAAACATTAGGAGTAAATATGCAGCTTGTAATATTTTTGTGATAGTTGGTTAAGTTCTTACCAGCTTATGAAATGACCCTCTCAGATGTCTGGACGTGTTTATGTGCGCGCGCCTATAGCCGCTCATTTCACTTGTGCGAAATTCAGCAAATGTCTGCGGTTGAAATGCTTTTCAATAAACTGTTGTTTAATTGAATTGATCTGTCCGTGGTTATTCTCGACACGTGAGAAGACAACAGAGAGGCTCCTGGGTTTGATCAGACTTCAGAGAAATTATTAACATTTAAATAAGAATTAAGACAAACAGTCATGAGGTGTTTGGAAAGCCCGTGCTGTGTTCTATATCCTCTCCGGCCCTGCAGTGACAGTGGTCTGCCAGCCTATCCTCCATCCGCTGCATGGGCGCGGCTTCGTTTTGCGGGTTTTTCCAGAACCTTCCCCCCTAGAGTCTATACGTGACCCAAATGAAGGTGAATGAGTTCGAAGTAAACGATGCAACCACATTTACACCCATTCTGTCATATTTAACTTGTTAAATACAATTAAATCAGCTAATACACCTTTAGGGATCAATGTGCGAAAACTCCTGCTTCCCACTAACACACAAATAAAATAAAAAATCAATAACTGCACGCATTTATCTGTAAATATGTAGACGCAGAACGTGCACCAACACGCATTATTTTATCATTAATGTTCATGTAAAAACATTTTTCTGCACAAATACCATTTACCCACTCAGGCACAAATTAAGTTTTGATAAAAGGACGAACAACTAAGTCATTCAGGGATACTTCTGAGTTTAAAAATGCTCATGAAATACGTATGTGGAGTAACCAGGTAGGTCGGGTTTAACGTTGCAAATCTGCAACACCTTCCTCCAGAGGGTTAAATGATATGAAACAACGCATTTGTCAGCACTTTGGTAACGCATGTGCTATTTGGTGCTATTTTTTATTCCAAATGCATCTTAACGTCATAGATTCTCCATTGTTGTCTTGTAATGATTATGTGTGCGAATGACTGAAGTTATAATTATCTTTTATATTTTAAGCATATTTTCCATGATCTCGACTCACACATACTTATCTAATTCTAATTTACAACAAATACATTCTGGTTAGAGAATATATACGATCCTTACATGTTTTTGTTTGTTAAAGGTGGATGTTAGTGGGTTGCGTTTTAAAATCAGCAGTGATACCGGATGGCTAATGTGGATCGGGAGGCAAATTGGAGTGCAATAGCAGCCTGTTTGTAATTATGCGTGAGAAAGTCTGTATTTATTTGTCCTTCATCACTCATTGTGATGCCTGCTCGTTCTGTTTGTCACGCACCAACTGTGCTGCCCACATACTTAAAACAGCAGTGGAGTATTTTTTTCTTTTTGACTGAAATCACATACTCTTCTCTACCCTCACTGTTGGCATTGAAGTTTTCTGGCCTTGCTTTTTACGATTTTCAACATTTCTGATAGTAAATTAAAGCCAGCCTGCAAGAAAAGAAAAGAGAGATGCTATTTTAGATTCTTTTTCCCTTTTTTAATTTGGACGGTCTGCTCTCAAGCCTGCCTTCTCTCTCTCTCTCTCTCTCTCTCTCTCTCTCTCTCTCTCTCTCTCTCTCTCTCTCTCTCTCTCTCTCTCTCTCTCTCTCTCTCTCTCTCTCTCTCTCTCTCTCTCACACACACACACACACACACACACGCACGCACGCACTTACGCACACACACATACACACACACACACACACACACACACACACACAATATAAGGTTATAATTTACACTAAGAAAAGAGCCTAAATCTTATGTGACTGAAACCTTCTTTTTGCTTCTTCACTGCTCCACACTCATATTGTTATTTATTATTTAGTATACTAAACGGTCTAACTTTAGTTGGTGCAAACTCTTTTTTGCGCATAGTCTTTTATTTCGCACCAAAGTATCGCTTTAGACTGGTTGGGTGATGAATTTGTTATTTATTTATTTATTTTTGAACGGCCTGCTGCAGGTCCAGTCTCACTTCTGAATATAAAAATGAATTGCTCTCTCAACAAAGCCTCGAGCTGGCGTCGCGCTCATAAACATAAACACAACCCGATTTCTGCACACATGACGCTATACCTGCAAGCCATCAGCAGATTCCTGGATCGTCACGTGGCCTCTTCAGATATACTTAATGCATATTCAAATATTTTAACAGGTTTTAAAACACCAAAACGCCAGAGACCAGATCAACTTTGCAGTGCCTTCACCTTGTCGCTGTTTAATTTGAGGCAAATGTAAAGATTATTGGCATCACTGTACACAGGAACAGAGGCGCTGGCGGCTTATTTCGTGCGCCTGCAGTTAGGACCCATGGCGCAGGTACGCAACAATTGTAGGGATGGATGCTCTCCCATCCCCCACAGAACTGAGTCTAACAGGCTCTCTGCTCGTCTGGAAGGATATGATGTCTGGATGTCATTTACAGCCGCACATCATGGCTGAATGTCATGGTGCACCTAATGCGATTAAAAAAGCAATGGAGATGACTTATTTTGTTTTGTTTTAAAGTCTAAAACTGCACGTGAAAAAGAATCTGCAACGTGGTTTTGGAGGTTTAAACCTAAGGATGGCGACTTTATTCATGATTTACCAAAATGTTGAGGTCTTTATGTTTTGGTATGTTTAAACACAAACACCATTGTGAATGCGGATTTTCCAGTCATTCATTTATTAAAATATTTAACTTTTAGTTATTTTAAAGGTAATCTCTCTCTAGCATTTCAAATCTAATTCGTTTTATTCAGGATTAACATAAGTAACGCGCATTGGGAAATCAGCAACCTGCTACAGTCTATTTGTTTCTACATGTAACAATAAACTAGAGGCTTAGATGAAAGCGTAATAAACCTCAGTTTGGAACCTGATCACGTGTTAATCCCACAAGAAGCTCGTTCCGTTTATAAAGATATTAACAGTTAAATAGTCATGTTTGATTTCCCTCTAAACTAACTGCGTGTTTTGTTTGCAGCCCATCTTGCTGGTCCGCTTTTTAGTTTCTTTATCCGTGTTATGTCCTCTTAAATGTTTTCTAAAATGTTAGTTATTTATATTAAATGTATTAAAATGCAGGAGACTCAACATATGTATATTTTCTTCATTTGCAGTTGAGTTTTAATTACTGTTTATTCTTTAAGAAACAATTATTATGAGTAAAATTAGAATTCTCAGTTTTGAATATTTTCTTTGAATATTTAAACTACGATCATGCGTTATGGATTACAATTATCATATTCATTTTGTTAAAGACAGCACTGTTATGCACCTCATACGTCGTTTTACGCACGCCTTTTTCCGCATTTCGTGAAAATGTTGTATTCAAATTTTAACTATTTGTGTAACAAGTACACAAATTATAACAGGTAAATAACAATTTTGATATTATTTGTTTGTAATAGCTTATCTTGCCTGGAATGCAGCATTCTGGCAAAATCGATGCGCTTTTTTCTGCAAACTGTCACATTTTTGCGTAAAAGAGCTGGGGGTTATCCGGATTCCCCTCTTTTCTCCTTCCTATGGTAAATATTTTTAGAAAGAGGCTCTCTAAATAACTGCTAGTTTGCATGTATGCTCTAGTGTGAAGTTCATTCTTGTCTGTCTAGACTCTCATTACGACCCTGTTTGTCTGCGTTTTTTTACCTTGACCTTGGACTTCCGTGCAGCTGCCATTTGGATGCGCCCTCTCCGAGGATGTAATTTCCTTGAGACAAAAGAACTACAGCCTCTGCAAAAGGAACGATGGGGGTGCTCAGCTTTTCTACTGCGGCCTGATTAGTCCTCAGGCAACTCAGAAGGATAAAAATGTTGATCATTCTGTGCGCCCTTTTGCAGGGCAGCTTGTAGCCTGTTTCAGCAGTGACTCATGGGTTAGGCAGTCCCATTCAACATGGGCCTATCCCGAGATATTTCTTCAAACTTGCAGCAACAGTTCTAAAATGTCTCAAGGTATTTTTAAAATGCGGCAGCAGAGTTTGGATTTTCACATTTCTTGACATATTCCTGCGATCCTCTGGTCAGTTAAGCGTAAATTCGCTACTTCTCATGAGAAATCGTCAGGAATTTCTAACTTGGATTCTAATTAAATCTAAATAAAGTCTGGATATCCTCACAGTCCCACTGAAAGCACCCCCTTGTTCCTGTTTTCGCCTGGAAGCGTCAGCATCCTTGTACTAGATGAATAAACAACCACGTCATGTGATTTTGTTTAATTATATTTATGTGTTTACGGATTGAGGGAGGGAAGGGGATGGAGGAGCCTAAAAGTGTATTTGATACTGCATTTTATCCGCGTGCGCAAAGATTTGCGTTAAATTGGGGGAAATTTGGGGGTCTTTCAGTGTCACTAATGAAAATGTGTTAATAAGTCAAGATTTGCGCTGAACAGAATTCGTGGATCGTTTCTTACCTGGAACAGCTTTCACCTGGTCCTGGGGCCACCGCTGCTGTTAGGGTACAACACGTTTGCGTAATCAGAACTACTTCTGCATCTCTCTGTAACACACACACACACACACACACACACACACACACACACACACACACACACACACACACACACACACACACACACACACACACACACACACACACACACACACACACACCATGTTGGCAAAAAGTAAAAGTATGATGAAAAAAAATCAACTCTGCATTTGGACACAGATTAATTTATTAATGTGACTTATTTTAAATTATAAACTGTATTGAAATTGAAAGTTTTTGTGAAACATTTCTGCTACCGGTCAAACTTTCCCTTTTGATTTCATTTGATTCTAAATCTAATTATCTTTTTATTTAATTTGCATTAAAATGCCCAAATAAAACCATTGGTCACATCAGATGAGGTTTAACCCAGGTTAAACTAAACTGCACCTAATCAGAAAAACTAAATCAGTTTAGAATCTAACACTGCCTCACATTTTCCAGCTGAATCGTGTTATATTCTGTCAGTGCATCGAGTCGGCTCATTTTCACAGGTTGTTTTCTTTTGTGCCGCTCCTCCGAGCGGATCCCAACTCCCCTTTAAGGGTGTGGGTTTGTGGCGGATTTGGACCAATGGAGTGCTCGGCTTTCTGCGGGGAGAGACGGTGACACGCGAGGCAGCGGGTCTTTAAAGGGGCTGCTCTGCCTCTGCTCGCAAGCCCAATCTCGCAGGACTTGTTAGCGCATCACGTGCCAGATTCTTAATGAAGTGGACACACAGGGGCCGGGTGTGCGCATGCGCGTGGTGTAAAATGTAGTTGGAAATGAGGTGTCCGTCTTGGAGTAGTCGACTTTTAAAAAGCATCGGCAGCCCGTGATATGACGACTTCGCTGGTTCTGCATCCACGCTGGGCGGACACCTTGATGTACGTTTATGAAAAAAGCCCGAATGAAAACAGCCAGAGTAAAAGCCAAACAATGGAGGGTCTGAGCGGTAATTGCCCTGCGACCCACTGCAGGGACCTGATGTCGCACCCCGCGCTGGGACGACATTCTGGCACCATAGCGACCCACCAGGGCTCCGTCTACTCGGATATTTCCCCCGCAGACACCGGCCGGCAGTGTCCCGCTCCACAGACATCCTCCAGCGCGTCGTTGGGTTACGGCTACCCGTTTGGAAACCCTTATTACGGCTGTCGGTTGTCTCACTCGCACAACGTGAACTTGCAGCAGAAGCCCTGCTCGTACCACCCCGCAGAGAAATACGCCGAGCCCAGCACGGCTCTCCCCACTGAAGAACTGTCCACCAGGGCCAAAGAGTTTGCTTTCTACCCCAGTTTTGCGAGCTCATATCAGGCTGTTCCCGGATATCTGGACGTGTCGGTGGTGCCCAGTATCAGTGCGCACCCGGAACCGCGACACGACGCCCTGATCCCCATGGAGGGCTACCAGCACTGGGCTCTCTCCAACGGCTGGGATGGACAGGTGTACTGCTCTAAGGAGCAAACACAGTCTACTCATCTCTGGAAATCACCTTTCCCAGGTAACGAAACAGAATATAATACTTAGAATTATTATAATCTCAAATTAATGTGTCAGAAAAACTTGTATTCAACTTTTTAACACGTGTCATGTTACAAATAATGATATCCAAAAATAACACAATAGTTATCTATTCATATTTTACTGGTGATTTGTTGTGTTCTGAACTTTCAGTTCCATCTTAAACACTTTATGGGAATTTATTTTTTTTTACCATCAAATATTAATATCCCAATTTTGCTGTCATGGTGCTTTTCTTTGCAGCCTCACATTGAACCTTTGATTTCATCTGTCACATGATGAATATGGAGAAGCTGCTGTCACGTAGATTATAAAACAACATCCCAGCATACCTTTGCCCCTGTATGACAATATTAGCTAGCCTACTGTTTGGATTGTGGTGATAAATCTCAGCGCCCTGCGGTGCGTCTTCTGCTCACAGGCCAGTCTGTGGTCATTATAACATTTGCTTAGCCCAAATCTCGCATAAATGAATCAGAAACATTTCGGATTTTGACTGAGGACTTAGTTTTTATCCTGCAGAGTGAAAAGCAAGCAGCATTTGCGCTGCGTAATGCGCCACCATGCTCCTTCTGCCTTTATGATCTTTGTGAAATCTGTAGCTATTTTAATTGCACGCAGGGACCCCTTCAGCCCCTGCTCTCAATCTTTTTAATACTGCAAATACATGTGAGCAAGCCACGCAGGCACGGGCACGCAATCAAGTAAGCGCGCACACGTGCACAAACACACACACGCGCTCTACCTGTCTCTAGAGACACAAACTGACGCACACAAACACAGCTGCACTGTTTGGAACCAGGAGTTTCAACGCAACATTTCTTTGTTTTACTGGGTAATTAATTTGTGAGAATGTTTATCATGAAGATAAACTTATATACATGTTTAAATAAAGTTAAGAGTCTTATTAATGAGCTTTAGAGGGAAAAGTGTGTACACCCGTCTGTAAAATTACATGGACGTTGAAGGCTTCTTATCTCACAGTTTGCGTTATTTTTTGCATTCAGGTGCACATTCTTCTTCTGTCAGGTTTCCTGTTGGATGGCCCAGTTTTGGGTGAATTATGTTTTTTTAGTTATCTGCACAAATAAGATAAATACTTTCCTCAACAGATTAATAGTCCAATAGAACAGGAAATTAAGAAAAAATTAAAAATAAATTAAATTAAACCTGTAGATTTACTGGAATTTACATTTATTATTATTTTAATTTTTTTGTTTATCACCTGCAATAGCATACTTTGAGCAATCAAACCTTTTGTTTTTGCAAGAATATTTTTTATAAAGTGCAGAAAAAGAAAGATGTTCTATTTTGCACACATTAAGAGGCAATATTTCCTTTAATATCTTAACAAGGGATTTATCTAAAGTGCAATTAACGCTAATTGATACAATGGCGTGTGGAGCTAATTAGCAATCAGATTAAGGATTAGAGAGTAACAGAGACTGGAAACCGGATGCGGACTGTGTAGGGAGTGCAACTTGATTTCCATGCCACGATATAACATTTCCTATTGCTCTGTAATTATCTGCATAAGATAATTCGCTCTAACGGCCTCAAATGCCAGGTGCAGCACACAGACATGAGAACTACACACACACACACACACACACACACACACACACACACACACACACACACACACACACACACACACACACACACACACACACACACACACACACATCTTGGTACTTTATTCTGGTAAACTGTCTTTGTGTGTATTTTAATATTTAACTTTGTTGTTTTTTTTTCTTTCAGACGTGGTGCCACTGCAGCCTGAGGTCAGCAGTTACCGTCGCGGGCGGAAGAAGCGCGTCCCGTACACCAAGATCCAGCTGAAGGAGCTGGAGAAGGAGTACGCAGCCAGCAAGTTCATCACCAAAGACAAGCGCAGGCGCATCTCGGCTGCCACCAACCTCTCGGAGCGCCAAGTCACCATCTGGTTCCAGAACCGGCGGGTCAAGGAGAAGAAGTTTGTCAGTAAATCAAAGAACAGTCACATGCACACCACTTGATAGGATGAGCGAACCTCCATGGAACTGTTGCTCTTCCAAAACGCCATGCCATGTATTTACCTGCGCAGTGAAGACCGTGGTTCACGAACATTTTCATTTTGATTTTGATTTTGACAGAGTGCTTCTCTCTCTCTCTCTCTCTCTCTCTCTCTCTCTCTCTCTCTCTCTCTCTCTCTCTCTCTCTCTCTCTCTCTCTCTCTCTCCCTCTGTCTCCCTCTGTCTCTCTCTCTCTTTTTTTTAATTTAAGATCCATCTAAAACTCCATCCACCATAAACCACCCGCCCCCCTTCCAGGCTCTCAGTTTAGAGAAAAAAAAACTCTAAAAACTGTGAAAAATGTGGAAAGTTCATTTCACCATTGTTTTATAAGAATGTACATATATAAATATATAATATTTAAAACGATATCTGTATTTCAAATGCAAGTATTGCGTGTGTTTTTTTTCTTTTGCTTTAAAATGGGATCTTTAACGGACTGATGACGTTTCTGATTGCAGCGGTCGGATCGACAGAAGAAGGAAACTAAACTCCTATTTTAGAAAAAAGATGATCACCACATGGACACAGATTGTTGTGGAGAAAAACCTGAGACTGATCTGTCTCCACGACTGCTGACAAACAAGACTTTCGGCAAAAAGGAATGCTTTAACGATAAATAAAAGAAATAAAAATCCGTCTGAGTTTCAACAACAGTGTTCCTCCGTATGGGATGTGATCTGTTCAGCCAGCAGCGGCTGCTATTGTTAATCTGTATAGTGCAATGCCACCATTATTTAAATCATATTATCTAGTATGGCGGAGCTGTAAACTGTTTCCTTTATCAGTGAAGGATTCTGTCATGCAACTGGAATGATTGTAAACAATTAAAATCAGTGAGTATTACATACAAAAGAACGCACAGTCGTTTGGTTTTGTTCTGGTGTAACATTGGAGCTGATCACGCGCCTTGTGCCACGCTTGTGATTTCTATTTCTACTTTGGTGCAGTATGTGAACTGTATTGTGGTGTCGAATTACGTACTGGTAACGTGTTTCATAAATAAATGATGATAAACATGAAAATGCTCAAACATTCAAATCACTCTAGCCTGGAAAGGAAAAAAAATGTTTTCTCAGTTTCACCATCGCATCTGGACAAAAACGTATGATTACGCACGATGATAAGTGAGTATTTTGCTAATTGGGGGGGAAAACAGATCACCTCAATACGTTTGTAGGGTGCGGATTAAATAGTTTCTAGAAAAATCATAGGCGTTTTTAGATGCAGTTCCTTCAACATTTAGAAAAAAATTCGCCTGTTTAGTGCGGAATCTCCAAATTGGCAACAAAGCGAGTTATGATTTTGTTCCTCCAGGATTATTTGTTGTACCCCAAATGACTTCTTTATATTCATCAGACACAGATTACAAGTTATCCTCACAATAAGGGCATAAGGATATTCTCTTTTTTAAGTATGAAATGTTTGTAGGTTTCATTTATTCTTTGAATGTTGGTGGAAATAAAATATTAATTTTAACGCGCTTTGGCGGCACTAATTATCCATAATTCTTGTGCGTATTTGGATTTTAGTTAGATACTGCTGTTTCAGGTGAGTTATGAAAAGACCAAGAGGGAATCTTTACCGCATTGTACAGCGTAACGCGTCTTTACGAAAAATTTGAACCATATATGTAGTTGACCAAATGTCTTACTCACCACAATAACACAAAATATCCACAGTTTGCTTAAGCAGGCTCCGTTTATTGAACAGATCTGCGGACGCATAGGTATACACGCTGCAAGCGGGTGTATTTGCTGCGTAAATGTCTCCAAACAGTGAACATGGCTGACGAAAATGGAATATGGAACATTCAGATGTGCCAGAAGTTGGGAATACATTTTTAAAGCCTCTTTTAATCATTTTCTATACATGGTTTGGCCAACTTAAAATAAACATTCAGTTAAGTTAGTCTTATGTCAAAGGAAATCAGCATTAATATGTGTTTCTAATGCAGGTTTTGTTCCGCATTTAGGAATAAAACAAGGAGCTGGACAACTAATTACCGGTCCGTTTTATTTCTCTCTTAGCAGAACTGTGTCAGTCTCCCCAGCCTCTTCAGATCTCTGGAAGTTTTTTTTTTGTTTGTGGCTGAACTTTTGTGTTGTTTGTCCGCTTCCTGGATTTTCACCCCATGTGGAAACTTCTGGCTCTTCTAATTTAGCCTTGACCATGACTATGCGGTCACTTTGACCTTGACATCACAGAAGATTGTGAATAATAAATAGGGAGGCTGGACACCAGAGCGCGTGGTTTGTTTGGAGGCAAACAAGGTGTTATTTCCCCGTCTAGACAGCCGGTCTTAATGACGTGCCATAAATTCATAAAATAGGGAAGCGCAGAGATATCCTTTGACCTGCTCTTCTGACCACAGGTCTGCATTCACATTCAACTCCTTTCAGACTTTTATTTTTAAAGTCTTCCAAAGTAAATAGTTTTGACCCATTCTCATGGAGCGAGCATCGGTTTCACGCGCTCATCACGAGGTGTGTGTGTGTTTGTGTTATTGACCACGCAGGACAGGTACTTTTTGACGTCTCGCGCCAACAGCAGTAATCCGCAGCAAGCAGCCATACTGTCAACACAGCGAGAGGAAATAATAACACGACGTCGCCCACAATATAACCATTAAAAGGGACGGCTGTTGTCTTCGGACTCTGCTGGTAGGCCTACATGGACTTTGTTTTATGACTTTTTATCTCTGGAGGAAAAGATCTGCAGCTTGTTTAGAGGAAACTAAATGTTTTGAAGGAAAAGCGCAGCGGCAGGCCAGTCAGCGCGTTTAAAACAGGATTGTTTTACTTAAAGAAGTGCGCAAAGTCACACCTGAGTCAGAAAGGATTCATTATTGTGAAAATCTGCATAATATTATAATACCTGAGCCGTAAGTAGTTATATTTTAGTGTTATAACAAAATTATTATAAACAAGCGTTGTCACGGTGCAATGTGTGTAAATCTTATAGGCATGAAAATACTTAATAGGTCAAACGGACAAATGCAGGAAAATGCAGTTGGCATGTATATTCACGTGAGGAATAAATGGAATAAATCCTCTCATCTTCAGGTCGCCTAAACATGATTTCTCGTGACATCGTCAAAACATCTTTAATTGAAATAAATAAATAACAGCCTTTCAATTAGATTAACTCTGACAAACCTAAAGTTTTTAGACTCAGGAGAACAAATCAGATCCACATGGTGGAAAAATATTTAAACAGATTAGGCTTAAAAGTGTGTGTGTGTGTGTGTGTGTGTGTGTGTGTGTGTGTGTGTGTGTGTGTGTGTGTGTGTGTGTGTGTGTGTGTGTGTGTGTGTGTGTGTGTGTGTGTGTGTGTGTCAGAGCTGCAGGCCGCTGCCATGCAGAGACATGAGGAAGGGGGCTGATAACCTCTGCTGGTGACCAGAGGAACATATCAGGAAGTGTTGTTCCCAGTTTTTATGAATCCTTCTGCTTTAAGTTAACGTGTTAGTATTGTTTTTCACTTCTGATTTCATTACAAAGTTAGCTCCTATTTCACTGAAGACACAAATATTTAATCTATTTACGTTTTTATTGAAAGAAAAACGTTAATGGTAACTTTTAATGCTGCTGACCCACGTGAAAATTGGAGCGTTTTTGTAAAATCACGGATATTTTAAACTGTTTTATTTCGACATGATAGTTTCAAAAATATAGAACGTATCTTATAAAAGAATTGGCATTTAAACTTGTAATTAGTGCAAAACATTAGGGAGGAGAGAACAGCATCAATTACGTGCACGTTTACACCAGGAAAATGTTCTTTTGCACCAGTCACCATGAATAGAGTTTATGATAATACTATATTAGTTATTGTTATAATTAGCATGATATGGTGATACACTTATTTCAATAAAACATTTAAACAACGTTTTGCATTTCAATAATTGTAATATTTCAGGCAAATTGAAGTTATTTTAATTGTAGATCAGTTTTATTTTGTTTCATGGTTAGAATTAGTTTGAAAGGAAAATTTAAATTCCACCACTTTTAAATATTTTCACGTGTTATTTTCCAATAACACACACACACACACACACACACACACACACACACACACACACACACACACACACACACACACACACTTAAACTTTTACAAAACTTCTACATTTTCCAGATAATTAATTATGTTCTTATACTCTGACGGTCAAGTTCAGATGACTGTTTCGGCACTGCGATGCTTTTATTTTGAACTTGAAATCTCTTTTATATTTTATTTAGATTTTCAGACCAATTCTTTTCTTTTTTTATCAAGCAGCTTTTAGAGGTTGGTTCAGGATGGAATTCAGACTGGATGATTTTTATTTCCTTTACTGTTTTTGTAAATTAATGCTAAAATATGTTAAAATTAATACTTTCCCTCCTCTCCTAGCTCCCTTCAGCTCGCCCTGGTAACTTGTTTCCCCTGAATGACGCTTTGCAGAGTCAGGCTATGCAGAAACCTGTCTGCAGAGAATCACAGAGAGAAAAGAGAGAAAAGGCCTTTGTTTGGGGTATTGCCCTGTCTGGGCTGGACGCTGGATTCCAGTCGGCTAATTTCATTTTGTAGCCGACTGTGTACTAGACAGTGACCTTGACTGTGCTCGCTTTACCAAGTTTGTTGTTGTTGGTTCTTTTTTTCTTCTTCTTCTTCTATTTACCAGCAGCTTTAGCTGGAGCTCAGATCTGACACCCTCTCTGGGTTTAGACGCTCTGAGCAGTCATGTGGCTGTTTGATTCAGATATCCGGATTTGTGGAGGCGTGGAGAGACGGGGCGAGGAGGCGCAACACATGGCCTGTTTTCTCCGAGGTAAAAGCATGCACGATCCAGGCGGAGTGGTCGTTCATCCGGGCCATTTTGGCATAACACTGCACTGTTGTCTGCTTTTGATAACTGCTAATAACAAGAGAAGCTGCGTTTAAGGACACTCAAAATCTCCTCGTGAGACTTTAGATATGATCTGATGTGCTGCATTGCCAGACCCACTAACTAGATGAGATCATGTGAAATGATAGCAGAGTGGATCCTATTTTTAAACCATTTGATCTATTTTTTTCTTTCTATTTAAAGCCGGAGCAGGGCTCGGTGCCTTTGGCTCCGGAATAAGACGCATGCTCATAAGTGACAGATACACCTATCGAATATCGGCTGCCTTGCGGATCGTTCCCAAACCAGTGTTTAAATGAATGCTGGAGATCTCACATAACACGTCCTTGGCACATTTTGTGGTATGAAATTAGCGCCACGTGCAATTCTCTGCGTGTCATGCGCATTTGTGGCAATCGAATGATGTTTACTATTAATAGCTTCATTTTGTTATTGCATTGTTTTATTTTAGGGTTTGTTCATTGGATTTGCATTGTTTCATTTTTTTTTTACTTTTACAAACGTGTCTTACTCACATTTTAATGCATATTTTGCAAAAAATCCAAACACTTTGCGCTACTTCCATGCTTCCACAAACTAATAATCTGGGTTATATTTACCCTTATTAATTGTGAACAATTTACTATTCTCTTTAAAAGAGTTTTTAAGTTCAACATCAAGGTCAGCCCATCGTGCGTGAGTCTGCCTCGTGAACTTGACAAGTTTAACAGGGAAGCGTGTGTGTGTGTTTGGCTATATTCAGGTTATTATTCTCTTATTTTAATGCTGTAATGTTTATGAGTAAATCTATTTATCCCAGATGCAGTCATATACTTTTATTTCTTTTATTTTCTTTATCTAGGATGCATTTCTATTGCTGACGTTTATAATCCATTCTCATTGATTGTTGCCTCTAGTGATTAAATCTGAATTCATACGAAAAAAGCAGTGCTGACAAAATTGTAGCAGACTTGACATAATATAGCAAATAAAAACACACATGGAAAGGTTTTTTCTCACTTTATAAGGAGGATAAAACGAAATCCGTATTATTTGGCCAGAAGTGGAACTTTTCAAAGCAACATTTTATTTTCTTCCACTCTGTTATTTCCCTACAGCAGAAAGTTATTCCAGAAGAAACCGTGACCAGCTCCTTATGACATGTCACATATTTGTTCTGTGTCTTCAGAACTGCGTCACAAATCAACTAATTAGGGAGATATAAAGCAGAGGCTCTCGGCTGATCGAATCAGTTAAGTGGCCTCTGATATCTTGTAAAGTTCATATAAAAGAATTGTGAGAGGTATAACCATCCCACCAGAGTTTGGCTGCGCGCGTTTATTGGCGGGTTCTGTTAAAGTTGCTCATGTGAGGTGTACTAGAGAATATAATGTGAAATATACGCTCTTAAAGTAACCTTGTAGAATATCGTCTTCTTTTTACAGAGCCGCTGACTTCCACTTGCTGACCCCTTTACTGTAAATATGAGCAGAGCGCGCGGATGAGGATTAGTCTTTTCTTAAAACAAGCTTGTAAATTGGGACATCAGCGCTTTATTTTACACCCAATTTCACCATAATTTGCTCCAAACAACCCCTCCCCTTTAAGAAAACTAGTTTTCATACGACGGCGTGTAAAAAAAACTTTTGTCAGCTTATAAATATATTAAACGAGGCCGTGGACAGACCCTCTAGTGTGAGAGTAAAAAAGCTGCTGGGGCTCCTTTTGGACTCAGCGCAGCAAAACAAGATTCTACATTTTGAATAAAAGCTTTATGGTATTTTTTAAAAAGCTTATAAACCGCTGTAATACAGAAGTTAATGTTTTGTTTTGTCTGAGATGGACCAAGTGGGTGGTACCAAGTGGGGCACAAGTTCGCCCAGACACGTGGTGCGGGGAAGACCAATCAGGCGCAGCTCCAGGTTTAACTATGTTAAATGTCAGATTGCAATAAACTAGAAGCTGTTGGTCGGGCCCGCGGAAATGGGCGAGCATAATCTCCTTAATCCAGGGTTTGTGGGACCTTTGGTAAACATCCACACTGGAGACACGTTTTACTTTCCGAATTTCAGAGCCTCAGGGGGACAACTGGCGGGGCTACCGTCTCTCTCCTACCCGAGAAGGGACAATGTTTGCTCCCTCCCGTGGAACCCTTCGGAGCCGTGCAATGGATACTCTCAATCCTACTTTAGCAGCCCCGTGTCTATTAACCCTCCCTTCAATCGGTCGTGTGAAATTAGCAGACCGGAGGAGGGGAAATGTTATTACAACAACGGGAACGGGAGCAGGGAGACCTGTTCAGGTGGCAGCAGCCTGAAACGAGAGGACAGGGCGAGAGACACAACATCCCTAACGTCTGACCACGGGATGCACAATGGAATTGGCAGCAGCGCCACCTTCCCTAAATATGATTATGGAACCGAGCAGCTAACGCAAGATCCGCCATCATGTCAGTCGATGGAGTCCGATTCCAGCTCGTCTCTGCTCAACGAAGGCAGCAAGCCTCCATCTAGCGACGCACAGACCCTGGTGTCACCGGGAAGCCATGCAAGCAACATAGCCGCAGGCGGAGGTGGGTGTTAATTTTTCTCTCATTTTCTTTAAAATCACTAGAGACGGACGGTGGCATTATTCGTACGCATGCTGCACACAGCATACATTTGCGTTTTTAGATCGTTTTAAGGCTCATTATGTTGATGCACATCATGCAGCCTGCTTTGCCTGTAGGAAAGCTGTGTGGTGTGCACACGCCGCTAGGGGTTGCCCTAAAATACCCCTTGCGCCATGTGGCTGCGTAAAGTCACAGAAAAGCTCAACAAACCATAGTCATCAGCATTAGACTGAGTAGACAGTCGTGTCAGGGGAACATAGGCTTGGTGAAACGCACACATAAGTGGCTTATTCCCAAATCCGTTGTTTCATTCTTTACGCACAGATCATTGAAATGATTTAAAGAGGTGCTGCTTTGGTTGACTGCACCAAAAACACAGACCTTTCTTATTAATGACTCGTGAACATAATTAATATCTGTCGCCGTGGACTGAAGTCATTTAATGTGCTCAGAAACTCGCAACAAGAGCGGCTATTTTGCAAGAATGGCTTAATTATCACGTTAATGCTTCTTTAACTGCAACAATAAAACTTCCTGTGACGCAACCGTAGTATAGCCCACTTATGGCCTCCATGAAAGAGGGGTTAACATGAAAAAAGTGTGGTCGAGATATTTTAACCAAAACTGGATCAGTCCGGATATGAAATCAGCTCTGATATGTCCACCCAAACATTGTTGGAACTGACAGCTTCAAGAGGTGTCAGCTTTTCCAAATCAATTCTCGCCTTCTAATAACACTCACATATTTTTAGTAACAAAACTCCTTGACTCTTCCACAGTATTTTTAGTTGCTCGCATTTTGGGGCCTAAATGAAAGTTAAAGGTATCTAGTCCTGTGGCGCGCACACCTAAACTTGTCATGTGCTGCAGATGCCCTTGTCCTTTCCTCATAGCCTTGGAGATGACCGTGATTTTGCAACTGTGGTGACTAAACTCCCTCCTACCCCTCCTCCTCCTCCTCCTCGCCTCCTCTCCTCCAGGTGCCCCGTGGTACCCGATGCACACCCGGACCAGAAAGAAGCGCAAGCCTTATTCCAAACTCCAGCTAGCCGAGCTGGAAGGCGAGTTCATGCTGAACGAGTTCATCACCAGGCAGCGGCGGAGGGAGCTCTCCGATCGGCTGAACCTCAGCGACCAACAAGTCAAAATCTGGTTCCAGAACCGCAGGATGAAGAAGAAGAGACTCATGCTGAGGGAGCAAGCTTTGGCCTACTTTTAGAGATGCGGCAGAAGGTGAATCGATACAGGCAGTAAAAGCCAAGCCTTCTACGCTCCCCTAGGTCTTTTTTTCTGTGCATGCACTCATCTATCCATCTTTTACATTGCAGTCTATTATTATTACATCCTTTCTGATACGTTTTTATCTTAAAAGGTGTCGGTTTTAATCCCCTCTCAGAAAAAAGCTTATCAGGTTTTCAAACACATCAGAGAGCCAGGATGTTTGGCTCAACCGCACAAAAAGCTGTGAAAATATGTCTTTGTATCATTGACCTAAATGTAGGCCACACAAAACGTATCACGGGCGATCTCCTTACGGGAGAAAATGATCAATAGAATAAAATAAGACTGGGGCAGAACTACTCAGTAAAATGTCAGAATAAACCTAAAATATCAGCGGAGTCGAAGCAACAAGCTGCGCGTAATAAGAGTTCTTATCTTTCTTGGTTCAATTGTTTATTATAGGAGTACCTTCATTTTATATTTTTTTCTTTATCATATTTTTCTTGTGTGTGTGTGAGTACGCGTGTGCGCGTGCACGTTCACGGTCATGGGCAGGAGACGTCTGGCACTCTGCAGGACTAAACCCGCAACGTGGTCCACCAATAAGCTTGCGTTAAAGACTTTGCATAGAAAATTCAATTACCATGACTTTGCTCACGTGTTACAAAGTTTAAGTGTTTTGTTTTGCTCTTTCCAACTTGTTTTAACACCAAACCACTGAATCCTGCATGATCTTCAGCTGAATGAGGTCACCGTTTGAAAACGAGTCGGAGCTGCTATTTGAAAGTCCTCATCCTGGCTTTACCAGTGGGACAAAATATTGTTTTTCTACCATAAACCCAAAATGACCTGTAACAGTGTTGTTATTTTAGGGCCAACTCGGTTAAAGCAGGAAAGTCACATGACGTGTGGATAAAGTTTTAGCCCCAAAGGAGCATTTCAGGAACTTGTACTCACGAGGAAATAAAAATGTACAAAATAATTAAATAAAAAAATAAAAGTAAAAAATAAATAAAAAATCCAAATAAAAAGAGAAAATAAATCCTTACGGGCTTGACGAAATAAAAACAATATTCCCTCGTAGATTTTTTGAGGGTTAATGCAGTGTATAATCTGATATGTATTATGAGTAAGCTATATGAAATGTTTGCAGCATGATATTGATGTGACGCCATGGCCACTTTTTTCCTCTGAGGGTGACTTTTTATACTTTTTGTCTGAACGAATCAGAAGCCAACAACGTTCAACATCTAGACACAAACGTCTATGAAGAATGTATTATCATTAATATTACTATAATAATAATTAATATTGTCGGTCAAAGGGACATGGAGCCTGTTAGGCCTACTTAACGTACTTGATCCTTGCCATGTGCTCAGTGTTGTCCCCTCCTTGTCCTCGTGTATAACTTTGTAAAATGAAATGACTTATAGTATTTGTATCCTGTCCGAGGATCCCTTATTGCTATGTAATAGTGCTTTATGTTATTGATCGTCTTGTACATTATCACATTCCATATATCATATTTGTGACTGTGAGATTTGGAAGTGTAGGCCGGATATCCAGCCGAGGAGGATTAAAAAATATGTTTTATTTTTTCTTTTATAAATTTATGACGCATTCATTTAAGAAAACTCTGTTTCGGTGTAATAGTTGTCTCTTCTTGTTCTTTTACGTCGCCAACCCATTATGCATTCCTTTCTCTGCTTGTAAGGATTGCTATTTTGTCTCGTAAAAGTAACGATATGAATGTATATGCGTAAGGTCTTCAATAAACAGAATACTGAAATGTTTATTGGTGCTCTGTCTCTTATTAGGCTTTTCTCTTCCACGAGCAATTTTTTTATCCTATTTATTTTGTTTAAAGCTGACTGGTGAGATAATTTTCTTACACCTGACCTGTAACATATGATAAAGACACACAACAATTAAATAAAAAGTGTGTTAACTAATGGGGCAATTGGATGTATTTAGGTTTTTTCTTGGCACAGCATGGCGTTGTGAAAATCGCGCAAAAAGGACACACAGGTTGCACTAATTTTGTTGTGGCCGACGCAGATGCAAATATGTCATATGTGTAAAATGACAAATAGGTGCGTGTTTTGCATCGTATTGTCCATTAAATACTTAATATTTCATTATTTTCAGTTTTTGCATCAAGAAAAAAACATTGAATCTATTTTCAGTATAAAAATCTTAACCGCTTTGAAGTTTGACCCAGTCAGTGTCACTACTTTGCTACAAGCCTATAACCTTTTAGCTAAACACGCAACAGCTCTGTAAAGCAGTAATAGGGTTACACCCATGTGCTCCATAAGGCTTTTGCCTGCATTTCTGCATTCTGTGGATTGCATTAAAGATTCAAAAGTGTGACAAATAATAAAACGTGCTTTACTTAGAAACAGTGCGCTCATGGCATTTAAATGTGTCATCTTAGATGTTAAATACAGCCTAGACCCACACAGACGCTTTTAGCATGACGTACTTCTAATATTCACAAGGCTCTCCCTGCTGGCAGTGAAGTGTAAAGTCTTTCATGGCTGCAATGTTTTTCTACCAGCTAGCCGAGCATTGGTGCGTTTTCTCTGCAGCAGCTTGCAATCTCAGTTAAGTGAAGGATGTTCGCCGGAAAACGGTTTGCTGTCTCAGAGTTGAGATTAGAACGGTGAAAGTCTGTTCCTGCAGCCGAGATACTGAACCACATGCACTCTCAGCTTTGCATGATAACATCACGAAGCCAGTATAAACAAATAGAAGCTGACGTGAGCTTGTTATATTACATTTGATTAATAACGAACAGCATCTGATGACTAGTTTTAGTTTTATACGTTGTTGTTGCCACGCCTCTGATTTCTCCGCCAGTTTCAGGAAGTCACCCTTTCCGATTTGGCTGCTTACTGCAAACCACAAAAATACCACACCAATGTATTCACCACTGCATTTAACTGATTACACAATTTTACTGTGTTGTAACATCTTGAATGAAGTAATGCACCCTTGCTCATTCCGCAATCCGCGCTACATTTTTACAATAAAAAATATGACGAAGTCTCCAAATGCTGCTTTAATTAATTATCGTGGTATATAATATGAATTCACCCCGTAATTATTTAGATATTTTAACTGGTCAAGTCAAGAGCTTTAAAATGGCAATTACACATTCTGTCTTTACGTTTCGGAAAATTCTCTCCGCGCAGGAATCTAATTAAAAGGTGGTTTGAATAAATAAACGGCTCCTGTTAAGTAGACTTCACCTGTTTAGGAGAGGAAGCGTTCAACTAAGTAGATTCAAATTACTATGTAACCAGGGGAAGATAATCGCGTGCGTAACGGTATCATTTGTGCATTTTACGCACGAACGATAGTCTTTTTAAATGAAATTATAACGCAGTTCGGTAATAGGTAGAGATACATTTGTATTGAATAATTGTTACATTACAACACAGATTACTATTAGTTAGCATTTTCTAGATTTATTCTAGTGAATTTGATCATGTGACTCATAACAACTTTATTTATCAGGCGATCAAACGCGCTGCTGACCATAGCGAGGAATAAAGCTGTCATTTGTTAGTTTTGCTGTTTTTAATAATATGCGAAGTGCACAATCAAGCTCTTCTCACAATTCAGCTCCAGTTATTTGCAAACAAATATTTGAAACCAGTTACATCCAAGCAATAGGGAAAAATGTCCATGAGATGCTAACAAATAAAAATAAGTTTCGTTTGTTGATGGTGTGTGCGAGCGCGTGTGTGTGTGTGCGCGCGCGGGCGCTTTGAACTTGAGAGGTGTGTGAAACAAAGCTGGTGGCTGGTAAATAACAAAAACAGGAGCTGATCTCATGATTTGCTGCTAACTGAAACATAATAAAGTTGGAGCTGAACAGATGAAAGCGTAAATTTCAATTTACAACAACATCAATTTGCATAATTTGTTCGTCCAACCACGTTTGGATTGTGAAGCAGTCCATCTCTAAGCCCAGTATGTGTGCACTCGTGACTAAATGAATTAAACACACTGGTTTGATTCCCAATCTAGAACTGGTGGATAAATCGGTGGCAATCTTGTGACCGACCAACTTGGCAGCTGATCTTTGATCGCAGCCAAACAAATGGCTGCAGATATTTCTACTGGAATCGGGCCCCTGTTGGTTTTATTTGTGGCTTTTATTCTTCGGACGTTTCCATTTTTTTGTCTCTGTTTTACTTGTGTTGTGCTGAAACGTTTTACAACAATAAACGCATAAAGTGGGCCAAAGCGCGCCTTTATCTCCCGGTCCTTCTTCATCGGAGCTAAACGCCATGCTAAATAGGTGATTTTGGTTTCTACATTTTCCTAAAAGAAATTTTCCTGGAAGAGCTGTAGAAAGAGAGCTGACCTGAACAAATAGCCAGCAGACATATTTAGCCTTTGCGCACAACCTTGGGATATTTGTCTTTGCGAGTTTTTACAATCGGTCTTTCACTGCTCTTGAGCACTTTTGACTTTGAGACTGGCTAAATCTTTTTATGGCGGCCTGTCTCCTCATCCCAAAGGTCAGTGAGCTTCCCTGTGCCCTTCGCAGAGAACTTGTGTGGCATGTGGTCTACGTCCCCCCCCTCCCCCCCCCTTCCGTTTATGGTACAAAGCTGGCCAGAGAAAGAGAAAGCAATGTTATTTCGTGTGTGTGTGTGTGTGTGTGTGTGTGTGTGTGTGTGTGTGTGTGTGTGTGTGTGTGTGTGTGTGTGTGTGTGTGTGTGTGTGTGTACTTGTCTTTATATGTTTAGGTGGTCACATTTGAACTTTAACCTGTACATTTCCACATTGTGGGGACATTTTGATGGTCCACACAATGCTAAGCACTTGATTTTCGATGTATGGTGTGATTTGACTTTTAGTTTAGGTTGGGGTTGGGAAAAGAACTCCATTAGTTATGGTTAGGGTAAGGGTTGGGCATATTGGAGTCACTAAAATGAATGGAAGTAAATGGAGGCCCACAGAAACATATAAATACAAGTGTGTGTGTGTGTGTGTGTGTGTGTGTGTGTGTGTGTGTGTGTGTGTGTGTGTGTGTGTGTGTGTGTGTGTGTGTGTGTGTGTGTGTGTGTGTGTGTTGTCATGGAGTAGAGGATGAAAGTGTTAATGTGAAAGAGGGAATAGGGACACTTAGTGCACGGATCTATAGCGTTCTACTTCTCACAGAACTGTTGCATATTGATTTAGACATGATTTGGAACGAGTTTCTTTTTATGTTTCTCTTTTCTCTACAACGTGGCAACTTATTACTTTGTTTTTCAGGAGCATCAGGTGCCCAACAAATCCCAAAACGGCATGTGATTCTTTCACTGGTGCCACAAATGAGCTAAAATTGTCTTGGGCCAAATCGACTCTTGGGCTAAAGATGGGAAGCCATTTTTAAATCAATCCGGAAGTTCTAATCAACTACCAATGGCTCTTAATTTGCTAATTTCAGTCAGTTTTTCATTGCCTCAGATATACTTTTGCCTCTGAACACTGTTGTAATTTCTGCAGCATTTTACGCACCTGGGTTTGCACACCAGAACCATTATTTACTACTTTGAATGCGCGTGTTCATTGTTGATGATAAACTGGTGGATTATTCGCGTGTGTGCCTTCCCCTAAGATTTTTCACTAGTTCTCAGGACTGTGTTTTCAAGGCAGATGCATTTGGTCCTTTATGCATCAGTGAAGGTCAAGTATATGCAGGCAAATTTCTGCAGCAGCAGATGAAACTGCTGGAGGTGTTTTTATGCATAAAGGGAAATTTTGTGTCACCTGTTCAGATGTGGTCAGCAGTGATTTAACGCAAATAAAATGTGGTTTTGAGCTTCCCACATCCCGAGGCTGTATTCATATCACTGTCATGCTGTGAGTTGGGGGGGGGGGGGGGGGGGGGGTTGGACCCAAGATGCAGAACCAGGGAGACACGAGGCAGGAGTTGAAATAAACGTAAATATCCTTTATTAGGAGTGATTGTCCAAAAGTACATCCAATTGGGCAGGAAGCCAAAACCAAAAATCCTAGAATGAAAACCAAGAGACCTAGAGACAAAGTGCTCTCTTAAAGAGCAGACCTGGATGTATCCAAAACATCCTAGAGACCAAGAGAGTGGGTCGAGACAACACTGACACAAACAATGGACCAACAACCACATTGAGACGCAGACAGGGTTATATACACAAGGGCTGGGTGATTAGGGAATTGTGCACAGGTGAGACCAATTAACAGAGGAGGAGCACAACGGAGCAGGGGAGGAAAACCAGACCTAAAAATGGGGAAGGGAGCAAAATGAACTAGAGGGAGAAAACAGACTAGATAAAACACTTAACAGAAGACTAATTATAAAAGGTGTCTAAGGAAAAAGGTAAGGGAAAGAGCCTGGAGGGGGTTGGGGACACACAGGGACACTGAAACCTGGGGGAAACACCTAAGGGGAAAAAACCTGGAGTGGCCTGGGGAACACAAGGAGGCACATGAGGAGAGATGCAGACAAGGAGACACATGAGGAGCACAAGGAGACACATAAGGGAAACCTAGAGAGGGATGGAGAACACAAGCAGACACATGAGGGAGACGCAGGACGCAGACCATGACACACTCTTACATCTTCAAGCAATGTTTTTTTTTTACAAATGAAAAGCTGATATAATTATTATAGATGGCAATATTAACAAAAATAATGGAACAATTCTCGGTTAATTTTAAAGCATGTTGGTTTATTAGAACAGATTCCTGAGCGTAATGAGTCTGTAGCTCTGGCTTAGGTTTACCTTTTAAGCCATTTGTGTCCACA